GCCAGCCAGTGCTAGATACCACACTGATATCTCTTGGCTCTGCTCAGAATTTACCCTTGGAAAGATACCCTTGGCCTCCTGCTCCTACACCAGCGGGGTATCCAGGAAACTTGTTAAGATGCCTGAATCTGACAGCTCACACATTTGATCACCTAAAGGCTGCATATAGATATTTACTATACAGACAGATATGTGGAGTCAAAATTATGTCAACCTCAATTGTCTGCTATGTCCTTCCACCAAAAATGCCCAGATTAGCTCTCCATAAATTCTGAAGGTGGGAGAAGCACATAGTCCCCCCCTAATCCACTCCATAAAGAAACAGAAAACCTTAGTTTAAGCACACAATGAAAACAGCTTCTCCCAATACAGATGACATAGTGACACAAACTACAGAACACAGACATTATTTTCTCCTTCTTTAAGAGAAAAAGAGATGGTAATAAAAAAGCTGAATATAGGAAACCAGTAGCAAAGTCTTTACCACAACTGGATTCCTCCTCTCTCTTCTTAGTGAATTTGTGAAATTAGAGTGAAAAGGTTAATTTGGAGAGAATGTGTTACATTGAGAAAACCCCACATGGACATAGATGTGCCCAGATTAATGTTTATATAATAAAAACACTTAAGCAACTTTGCTCATCTTACAAAGTTACTTTGTATGACCATCACAAGCAAGTTTTCTATTTCAGAATTCTTAGAGCAGCCATTTAACTCCGTGGGGAGGGGAAGAAGAAATATGCCTTTCTCTGATGAGTTTGAATTCCAATATTTATTTTTCAACCAGTCTTTTAATATTAAGCAGTGGTCTACAGAAATGCCCAAGGTATGTAAGTGGAACATTTAATTAATTTCTCTGTGTGGATTCTGTGCACTTCAAATATCCCATAGGTAACACCTACCTTCAGGAAAACACATTCTGTTACAAATAGAAATTGCTTTTGTCAGGTTATAAAGGATAGGGTCTCTATCTGCTTTTGACCTTAAGGAACTAATCTACAGAAGGATTGCTAGAACAAGGAAGTGTTCAAATCCCTTCAGTTGCTAACCTGAACAGCCATTGCAAGCACTGTATGGAAAATCTCCATTTGTTGACATCTTGGCAAACTAAGAACTTTGCTGAACATTCCTGTGTAATCTAAGTATTTCCCTTCTAGGAGAGGAGGGGGCAAAGATCTCAGAACACTCTGAAATAGTGTACTTCAAGTGCTTGCTCTTACCTCACGGTATGGAGCACTGGTTAGACCCCATTCAAGACAGCTCACAGTGTAAACAGAGTATTTTAAAAAGCTAAAAGCTTAGTACTCAAAGGTTTTTTCTCCAATATCTATCTCTATTAACCTCTTGTTCATAATGAAACACTCCAGCAGCTAGGAAAGCCAGCAAATCCTCCCTCCTCTTGTGCACGGCTTTCAGGAACGCTGCTATGCTGTAAACGCAAAATTATCACTGCCCAAGGACACACAATTCAACAGCAAAATCTCACTCAAAATGAGATCACAGGAGAACAAATGTATGGATTTTCACAGACTTAGGTCAACTCCAAGACATATAAACTGACACAATGCTAGTCAAAGAAATCAGTAACCCAGTGCTCCTGTCCCATAGTCTATACTTGTTTGAATCATGCCATAAAGGCTGAATGTTTTGTACGTGAGAGAAATTAATAGCTTAGCTTAATTAAAAAAAAAAAAAAAAAAGTAATTTAGCACCTTTCAGCTACCCTCAGGATACAAAAGCCAGACTCAAAATAACCCAAATACTACAAAAAAATTGAAAGATACACAATACTAAATTAGTTCCCAATTTCTAGAAGCATGAGTACAAGTCTACTTGGTGTTTGCCTCAATTTGGGCACTTTCCTAAAGCTGGACTTGTGTTGGCAATCTTAAGCAGCTGTATGTCTTGCATTATAAAGTTATACCAGTTTAATCTTTTAAAAACACTTGCACTCCCTCCTAAGAACCAAAATAGTGCATTTTAACAAGAAAATAACCAGATTTTATGACAAGTGATGCTGGAATGGCCTCTGCTAAGCTTTCTGCCACCACCTCCCGCCTCACACTGCCTCCAAAAGCTCCTACACACTCAGATAAGCCCCCAGTGAGGTTCCTCCAGGACTTAACCCCGCAGAAAACAAGCTCTGCAGGGGAAAAGCTTTCTGTGACACTTTGTGTGGGTTTAACTCCCTGAATGAGCTCACCAGGAGCCAGGCGAGTGTCCCCTGCCAGGCCATCAGCAGGGCTGGGAGAAGGAGACTGTGTCTTTGGGTAACAGCCACCCATCAGCTCAGCCCAAGGAAAGGACATGGAACTCAAGTCACCAAGTTCGCATTGTTCACCACTTTTATGACCCTGTCATGCACTTGCTGGCTACTGCTGATCTTAAAAATGATTTAACTAAAAATATCTTAGTAATTCTAAGGTTTTTAAGTAATGAATTCAGTATTTCAGCTTCTTTAAAAACTTCTTTGATTTAAGGCAGTAGCAAATTAAGATTTAAATAATGTTCTTCAAATACTGCTAAGCAAATACTTAACCTCCCAGGTGTCAGTTTTTTCACAACAGCATTTGTTAAATAAATTACAGAGGTCATTTCCATGGCTCAGGAGAATTTGACTAATATTATGATAAATATTCCTGGAAAATCTGATTTTATTGAGCAATGAAATAAGCATAACATGACTTTTATGGATGTCACCATTTCTGGTCTACATCCAAACAGACCTTAAAAATAGTAAAAACAGAGTTATATTAAACCAAGAAAGTACAAGGTGTTTTGATGCAAAATTTGGTTTATACAAAATAGAAAAATACTTTTTCCAGCAGCTGTAAATTCAAACAGCTAAGAGATAACCACCAGAAAAACTGCTCCCCATCTTAAGAAGACACTGGGGAACTGGTATTTATGTATTATGCAAGAAACTGATTCCAGTGAAATTGTGCCTGAGGTATCATTCTTAGTAGCAAAAAGTTACAAACACAAGCATACAAATAAAAATTACAGATAAATAAAAAATTTTGGTTAATCCAGGATTTAAATTGGTTACTAGTTATATTAATCTCTAATTTCAAGTGCAGACACAAGGACACATCCAGAATGACATCAGTTTTTTTCTTACCATGCTCAAAACAGAACTATTTGGCATACGTGAATCCTCTAGAAATCCAGAAAAAAAATTTAAAAGGCAAAAGATTTTGATTATACTTTTAAATAACTAGTGTATCAAAACAATTTTTGAAATTGTTTCCTTTGCCTAACTGAGCCATCCCAGAATCCATCAGTTTACATTTATTTGCAGATCAAGAATACATTAAGACTTCACAAATTACTGTTCTTCTCTCTTATCAATTATGCCAACATCATTCAAGCACTATCATTCCAAAACCAAAAAATATAGTCTTTTTCACAACAGCAGCCATCATCTCCCAACATTCCAAAAGAAAAGACAAAGATACTAGACAACAGCTTTGCTGCAACTCATCAGCAACAGATAAAAACTGCAAAGTAGCAGCACTAGTCATGCAAAACACCTGGTGCTGCAGGCTGAAAATAACAACACCAGCAAGAAAATTCTCAAGGCTATTTGTTGTTATTATCTTAGATACCATCTTGTATTTCCTATCAAAATAACAAGTTCATGTATGCCATTTCAGTGTATATGTAATTAACAGTTCCATGAACAGCTATGTTCCCCTTAGGCAGAGCTGGATATAGACTTTTCAGGTGTTACTTCTCAAGCTGTGGCTAATCACAGCTGATCACTCTGCCAAAGCAGCAGCTGACTCTTTAGGAAAGTAGTAATTGTAACTTGAAAATCAGAGTTGTACATGCTTCCTGTTTTTTGGTCATGGCTACTATTCCAAAGGCAAACCACACCCCCTGCCCCTCCCCAAATATACTAACATCTGGAATTTCACGGAAAAATAGACAATAAACAACCAAGGAACAAAGTAAAAAAAAAAGATCCACAACAAAAACTGAAACCCACTCTGACCACTGTTGTTGGGTATTACAAAAATTAAACAAAATTAAACAAGATTCTGTTCAGAAAATGTTTGTGACTTGTATTCCAGGCCTGCCTTACTTTATACTTATCTATTAAAAAAAAATTGGTCTACAATCAAAAATTAATCAAAGTTCCTACTTATTATTAAACACTCAATAACAATTAGTGACTCTAAGTTTCTGGACAGGCAGCTCTATTTTGACATACTGGGGCAACTATGAAAAACCAAAAATAACCAAAATTAAAGCAGTGACTTCATACACAGATTAGCATACCTAAGAGTGTTATTTGGGTTATTAACCATCACTATGTTTCATGCCAAATGTTCTAGTAAGAATGCAAGTGGAAGCATACCTGTATTAGTATTCTTTTCATAAACCACGGTAGCACTTCATGTAATTATGAGAGAGATGGAAAACTTTAAGGGGAAAAGGGGAACTAGAGACAAGGCAACTGGCTGCCCTTGTAATCTGCAATCAACTTCAAGAGCTACTTCAGGTCATGAGAAATTTCAAGATGATAACTCTTTTATAGTTCTCTTCCCACGGTCAGAAAAAAATACCACATGGAAAAGAAATACTCCATGAAAAAACTACTCTTTCACTAGCTTTTATGCTAACTTGCACGTAAACCAAACAATGTAAAAGGGTATCAATCACTCGCCTATTTGGATGCATTTTCAAAGTCATGTGAAAAGTTGCAAGAATGTTCAACCAACATATATCAGCTGTCTCATGTACTGTTTTTGGATATTGATATCTGCAATCCCTTTACCGGATCTGGCATCATTGTCCGAGCTCAGATGACTCAGATAAAAACAATGTGAAAGCATAGTTTGTTTTCATGTTTAAAGGCACAACTGGTCTCTTGCAACAATAACAGGAAGAGCTGCTGGGATCGATACGCAAGATTATGAACAGGGGCTGTTCTTGTCCTACCCAGCAACACGCACATGGAACTCTCTCAGCCAGGTATCACATGCCACACTTACCAGATCTCTGTGAAGCACCCAGTTTGCATGGAGGTAATGGATTCCATCGAGGATCTGGTAGAGTAGGGATTTAACCATAGATCTTGGCAACTGCATGGGTTTTTTATTTGCTTTTGAGGCACGGTGAAACTTGATAATATGCTAGAAATAAAACAAGTAGAAACATGAAGAAAATTAGGTATTAGGTGAGAAGGTTGGGCATTTTGGGATATTTTAACTTCTAACACTAAAGAATGGAATGAGATACAACGTCTGTTGAATTCTGGAATTAAAGTAATAGCGATGCACTCACAATTCTCTTAAAATTGTTTTTATTCTCTGACTTGCTTCAAAGAACAGCTGTGAAATTTTTGTGAATATCTAAATACTGGCTACTTACCTTCAGTAAAGGATCTTAGACATTCTCCTTCCTCCCTTCTCCCCATATGGCATCCTCTTACCCTTGGCAGCTAGACCAGAACTTTTCAAACCAGGAGTGCCTACTAGTAGGAGGACCACACTCTATTCATAGAGACTTTCCCTCCTCCTCTTCAAAAACACCCAGGCTAGCATACTTGCAACTACTATTCCTCCCAAAATCAGGATCCCAGTAGACAGATTAAATAAATATTTTAATAAATATTTGAAGGCGGGGAAGGTAGAACTCCAAAAACCCCACACCACAACATTTGGGTGAGATCATGTTCAAACATCTAAAAATGGTTATCTTCTTGCTCCCAGTTTATGGCTGCGTACTTCACTGATGATGACAAGCTGGTGGCTCTTGGGTTACAGAAGTCAGTCTGTCCACTGGAGGACAAACACCACTCGAAAACATATAATGCAGTAAAGGACCCCAGTATTAGTTGAAGGAATTAAAAAAAAAGTAATTGAAAGATTGCTGAGAGATCATGAAATAGTCATAAACTAATAAATTCTAAGATCAATGTGGAGATGATGGGTTAGGTCTGGTCTTGCTACCCTGTACAAAAAATTAACTGGAGTCAGGCCATTCTACCATTTCAATCCTCAGAGAGGTGGGGCTTTGCAGGGCACAAATCCAATCCTAATATATTCAGCAAACAACTAAATATGGTCATTGAGATGGAAAAAAAAAAATCTCCTTTTTGAAGGCAATTCAATGAAGCACCTCAAATAACAAAATAGTTTTTAATCATGTGTCTTTTGAAAGGTGGGAATGATAAAAGCAGTCTGCATTTTTACTGAAAACCATACAAAATGCTAGAGTAGGCCTATTAATTACCCAATTTTTTAAATAGGATATGTCTAGCTGAAAATCTTGTCCCTTCCCAGGTTAAAGAGGTAGCCAAAGGCCGTGTTTTAATTAGACCACTGCTCCCTCCTCCACCATCCCCACTCCCCACTCAGTCTGTCACTGCTGCTCCCAGTGACAATGGTAATGAGTTAATGTTTGCTCATGGTAAATGCTGCCTCTGGCTGACACCAGTACTTTAGCCACTGTCAAACTGTATTTAGCAAAACTGTAAACAATAGTGTTTAAAGAGAAATAAGAAAGGCAGACAACACCAAATGAACCAAAACAGCCTGCTTACTCCCTATCAACAATGTTCCCACAGAGCCTTCCACTAGTAAATGTACAGTATTTATGACTCTGTACTAAAAAACAGCAGAAATTTACAGGATTGTCAGTTTTCAATATACTCATGAGGATCAGTAAACAAGATGAGCTCTTAGTACCTGATCCTTAGTTGTGCACTCTGGAAACTATTGAAATGCCTTAAGGGATTATTTCCTTAGAAATTTTTTCTTGTGATGTCACAAGAAGATTCTGTCTCATAACTTCAACTAGGAGTCCCTAGTACTACACAATGTTCACCAGACAGCAACCTTCATGTGCAATTACAATATGATTTATAAAGCAGTAATGATACCATAAACTCACAAATTAGTATATTTATTAATACAGGAAATGAGAAATGAAAAATACAGAGGAACCAATAGACAAAGGTCATACAGAAAGGCCCATAAATCCAGTCCTGCCCTTTTTCAAGATGCATGTGATCAGTAGAAGGGATTTCTACACCCATCTAAAAACCAATTACTACTCACACAAAACATTAGTCCTTAGGCACAGAGAAAATGAAGGAGTCTTATGAGACAGAAAGGGACACAACCACAGATGTGTTGAGGAGGAACAACACATGTGGCTCTGCCTCAGCTGCTCTGATACCTCTGGAAGCCAGGAGTGAGACAGCACCAGGTTGATGCCATTGGATTTCTGTCCCTGCCCCACCCATGTGGCTCTCAGTTAGAAAGGCTAAGGAAACAAGCTCCTTTCTTCAAAGGGTTATTGAATTGCAGAAGCAAATAAAAATGGATAGTTTTGCTCAAAGCAAGCAATATCACCACTAGGTAAAATCCAATTTCCTGCAAAATCAAATAAAACATGTTGTTGCCAGCTTACACTATGGAAGTTTATATCCAAAAGACTGCAATCGTCACAGTTTAGAGAACTGAACAAAAGCTAAAAATATACTGCAGGGCCAAGTAGTATAGAGAACTGAAAATCGATATTTGCCCCATGACATTGGAATGAATCCACAGTGTTTGTGATCAAGTCCTACACTGAAAAGTTGTCTAAAAAAAAGTAGTTCATCCAATTTCTTGTAAGCAACTAGCCATATGAAGAAAGAACAACACACCTAGCAAACACTAAACAGCAATTTTAATGGCAGTGTACATCTAAGAAATAGACGAGCAAACAGGTGCTGCTTCAAGTACAGCACATAACAGCCAGAATCTTAGACCTAATAAAGGCATTGAATAATTTACAGGAATTACAGCCTGCATTTCCCATTTCCCAGAAAACTGACTTAACCACCAGGCTTCAAAACTACCCTTCCCTCATTCAATGAATCTTTTTGCTGAATAGCACAAAATTAAGACTTTCCTGTGAGCTGACTATAAATCTGAACCATGACAGGTATGAAGCATGTTCTGCCTCTCTCTAGGAAGCATGAGGTGCACTTGGTACACTACAGTTTGTAACCTTTAGGTATACTCAAGTTCTTTGCTGAATCTTACCCCTAATGAATAGCCATTAAGGACAAAACATGAGGACTTCAACAATCCAGGCAAGTCAGAAGCATATTTGTAAAAAAACAAGCAGAAAGTCAAAAAGCTTCAGTATATCCCATGTCTTTTTTCACTGAAATTCCCTAAAGATAACTCACATATCCTGATAGATCACTTAGCCAAAAAAGCTGGTAAACACACAGACTCATTCAGCAAAATTAATGGAAAGTTATTGTCAGTCCACACTATACCCAGTTGCATGCTACAGAACAGAAACCTATCCACAATGTTATGCAGACATAAATTCATTTTAATTACTTCATTAGAACACTGCAAGCTCTCTTCTGATATATTTTAAATCTTTCAAAACAAAAGAACACACATCATAAGAGGCAAACATAACTCCAAGCAATATTGAAATCTATTCAGCAAAATAGCCATTTTCCCTTTCTGTACATTTCTGATTCCTAAATCTTAAAAATATGCTGCCACTGACTGGATCCCAAAAATTGTGTGAGCCAATTATGTATTCATTATTAAACAGAATGTAAAATTTTTTCTATTGTTTGTACATATTTTTGCTTTAATTTAAACAAGACACCAACTTTGCAGAAGTAATTTAAGTCTTTATTCTAAATTAAATTAATACTTCACTGACCAACATTAAAGTACACATTCAACAAGAGCCTAGGAAAGCAATGAAGGTATAATTTGCTGCTTGCAATATCTGGAACTATTGGATTTACTTAATAACTGCTTATTCCAAATTTTCAACTTTAAAACATGTAATAAAATTGCAAGGAAAACTGGATGAACCACATTATTTCAGTAAGATGATTTTACCTCTTGCATAGGCAAGACCATATAAATGATGAAAAAATGAAGAGGAGAAACAAAACTAGACATTTGGAAATAAAATTAAACAATATTCAATCTAGGAGTTTGACTGCCTTCTTCTGTGTTACCTTGTGCATTGAAAATGCTTTGAAACCTGGCTGGTGAAGAACTGTGTGCATTCTCTACATTCTCCACCACAAACAAGGCAAACATAATGCATAACAACACAGAGCAAATTCAAATCCCTAGGATTTACCCAGCAGTTAAGTGAGCATTCAATAAGATCCTAATTTTAGTCTGCTTCCAAATCTGTCTGTGTTTGTGTCATCCCATTCCCAATTCCAAGAACTGCCGTTCAGTGTGACAGAGGTTAAAACAAGCAAACAAACAAGTTAGACCTAGAAACTTTTTAGTCAAGTAGGAAGCCAGCTAACAGAGGGATTTTATGCATGTCTGATTAAATGAAGTTAGAGTGAGCTTCCACCTCAACATACATGAGACATCCATATACACAAGCCTCTAGAAAACCTGACTGCTTGAGTTCTACTGCTTAAGGCAATGCTTGTTGAAAATTACATGCATCTCCTTCAAACTGCAATGCAATCATGCCAATGCAGATGGCTCTCCCTGCTGAAACAAACTGTTTGTGCTCCCGTGCTTCAGCAAAAACCCTGCATTCTATCCAATCCCTAATCCAGCTTCTGAGAACAAAACAGAATTATGTCAATGTGCCAATAAAAAGTAAAGTTACATTTTAATACTGAGGAGAGGGAAGCTTGGATACCTGTAAAATCCGTACTAAGACCAAGAGGATTTATTTTATACAGCTTCTAATCTCATTTTTAACACAAAACCACCTCAAATTACTACATTTGCTTTAAATGTAAAGCATTCAAAAAGGGTATGAATGAACAAATCAAAATCTTAAGGCAGTATCATACATTGTTTCCACAATTTTCAAAAAGAGAAAGCAAAGACCCAATGAACCCAAGTAATTTGTTTGCTGTTCCAAAAATAAACCACAGTTTGATATGCCTACACTTACGACTCATTTCAGACATTAGAATTTTAGAAACTAAGTAAATTTTGTCAATGTACTTATCACAAGTATAAAATCAAAACAGAAGCGGATAGAAGTACTTCTAGATCAACCACTTTATTTTCCAATTTTGGAAACATTAGAGCAATTAACGTAAACTATCCTTCAAAAGAGAAGGGGAAGGGAGAATGCTTGTTTCCACTAAATGGTACCAGTGCATGGCCATCAT